TTCATGTAAGTGGTGCACCAAAGTCCCTATATATCCTTCGATTTGCACGAAATGTGGCATAACGTACAGAATTGAGCCTAGAGTGATGTCCGCCATGTTTCGAGAAAATCGGTCCAGATTTCTATATAGCTCCCACATGTAGTTACGTCCGATTTCATGTAAATGGTGCACCAAGGTCGCTATATATCTTTCGATTTGCACGAAATTTTGCATAACGTACTGAATTGAGCCTAGAGTGATGTCTGCCTTGTTTCGTGAAAATCGGTCCAGATTTAGATATAGCTCCCTTTTATTATAGACTGATTTTAAGTAATCGACGCACCATGTAACCAATAGGAACAAAACGTTATGAAATTAGTATAACCTAACCTGTGACAAGTTTGTTTGAAATCGCTTAATATTTGGATATAGCTTCCATATATATTTTCGTCCGATTTCAAGTAAACTGGGCAAAAACTCCAATCTGACTAACGATTGACATCAAATTTTGCACAACGTACAAAATTGAGCATAGAATTACGTAGTAGCGTTTTTTCTAAGTATAGACATAGCCCAACGGATGACCTATTTATATTTGTTTGAAGTCGATTTACATACTTTATGGATAGATCTAGTTAGATTCACATTTAGATAAATATCACATATTTTATTTCATCCACTTTCATGTTAATAGTCCTGTTTAATATACCCATAGTGGTGAAGGGTATCATATAGTCGGCCCCGTCCGACTTTACTACTTTCCTTACTGGTTTGGTATATTTTTTGGCAGTGAGATTTAACACCCCATGAGAATAAACTCAGTAAGGAAAATAGTAAAGTCGGACGGGGCCGACTATATGATACCCTTCATCACTTTGGGTATATTCTACATACGTATCCTAACAATTTCATATCAATTTCCGAAAATTAGCACACATCACTGTAGGCTTAATTCAGTACGCTGTGCCAAATTTCGTGCAAATCGAACGAAAATATATATGGGAGCTATATCTAAATCTGAACCGATTTTCACGAAACATAGCAGACATCATTCTACTCTTAATTCAGTACGTTGTGCCAAATTTCGTGCAAATCGAAATATATTTAGGGACTTTGGTGTACCATTTACCTTAAATCGGACGAAAATATATATGGGAGCTATATTTAAATCTGAACCCATTTTCACGAAACTTAGCACACATCATTCTAGGCTTAATTCAGTACGCTGTGCCAAATTTCGTGCAAATCGAACGAAAATATTTATGGGAGCTATATTTAAATCTGAACCGATTTTCACGAAAGTTAGCAGACATCACTCTACTCTTAATTCAGTACGTTGTGCCAAATTTCGTGCAAATCGAAATATATTTAGGGACTTTGGTGCACCATTTACCTTAAATCGGACGAAAATATATATGGGAGCTATATCTAAATCTGAACCGATTTTCACGAAACTTAGCAGACATCATTCTACTCTTAATTCAATACGTTGTGCCAAATTTCATGCAAATCGAAAGGTATTTAGGGACTTTGGACACCATTTTCCTTAAATCGGACGAAAATATATATGGGAGCTATATATAAATCTGAACAGATTTGCATGAAACTTATCACACATCATTCTAGGCTTAATTCAGTACGCTGTGCCAAATTTCGTGCAAATCGAATGATATTTAGGGACTTTGGTGCATCATTTACCTTAAATCGGACGAAAATATATATGGGAGCTATATCTAAATCTGAACCGATTTTTCCCAATTTCAAAAGGGTTTGTCCTTGGGTCAAATAAGTGACCTATGCCAAATTTCATCCAATTCGAATCATAAATGCGACCTGTACTTTGTTTACAATTTAACATGGACAGACAGACAGCCGGACGGACGGAGATGCATAAATCGACTCAGAAAGTGATTCTATGGATATTCTTAAAAGGAACATGGGTCTATGCACAAAGACAAACATATGCACAAAGACATAATACCCTGTACCACAGTGTGGTGAAGGGTATAAAGATTCGGAGATCGAACTCATTATATTTGACCTGTACTTTTGCGTACCAACCCTTCTTGGCACTGAAACATCTACTCCAAATTTGTTGGCACTAATTTTTTTCCACGTATAATTTGTGGAACTCGTCTTCTCCATTTATACCCTTCACTGCACTGTGGTGCAGGGCACGAACACTGTTGAAATTGATTTAGATATAGCTCCCATATATATTTTCGTCCGATTTAATGTTAATGGTACACCAAAGTCCATATATATCTTTTGATTGGTACGGAATTTGGCATAGCGGTTCAGATTTAGATATAGCTCCGATTTTAGTGTCAACGTTTTTTTTTTTTTTCAATCGATACAACATTTTGTACAACGTATCTAACTGGGATGAAATCAGTTCAAAATTAGCTACCATATATGTTTTCGTTCAAATTTACATAAGTTTGTCTGATTGAAACAACATTTTACACAACGTATCGAATTCGGAAAAAAATAAGTACTAACAAGTATGTATGAAATCGATTCAAATATAGCTGTAAATGATGGATCAAATGCCCAATGTTTATACGATTGCGGCGAGTTGTGAAATTGAACCTAGAACATAGCGTTCTCTAAAGATTGGTGCAGATGCAAATATAGTTTCCATATATTAGGTTGGGGAAAAAGAAATCCGGACTTGGCACCAAGCTTCTTTAATGACAAAAAATTGTATCGACTACTACGGTTTTTTGCAAATAGAGAGCAGGACTTCTATGAGAGAGGCATTATGAAGTTACATTTAAAATGGCAACAAATCATACAACAAAATGGTGCATATTTGTCCCGGACATTCCTAAGGATATTAAATAAAGTCCTATAGTTCATATTAAAAAAATGGAATTTTTCTTCCTCAACCTAAGTCAAAAATAACTGACTTCATGTTAATTGTCCACCAAATAATGAACTGGTGTTCAATTCAGATTAAACCTTTCACAGGGCGCTGTACTGCAGCATAATGAGTAGTTTGATTTAAATCGATTTCCATCGATTTCATTGTATAAATAAAATGGAGTTTTGCATTGGTTGGAGAGACATATCTATGGATTGAGTTTAGTCGATTTACATATAGATACAAATCATATATTTAATTTAGCCCAATTTCATGTCAATGGCCCTTCAAAAATGCGACGTGGTAAATGGTATTACATAGTCGGCTGCGTCCGATTTTACTACTTTCCTTACTTTTTTAGCATCACCCGATATAACGGTAGACCCCCTTTGTAAGTATTTTGAGGACTATAGGGGAATTTTCCTATTATAGTAGCTGTAATTTGGCATTCCAGGATATTGAAGTTCCTAGTCCAATTTCTAACCTGTAATTGGGATATTACGAACATGAACAGCCTGCTAACACATAGCCTTTGGGGACTATGTTCCGACCGATGTATGCAAGTTAAAGGTTCTAGACGAATTTGCCATTAATATCTTTAATTTTGTAAAACCCCCTAGCAAACAATTTACTAGATGATGATTATTAGTATAAAGTTTTTGGTCCGCCGAAAAGAAAGTAAAAATCTATTAATAATTTTGGTATCACAGAGTCTCGTCGTCCGACTTTACTGCTTTACCCATAGACTGATGTTTGCTTGTTAATTGTTTGAATGAACATTTTAAATTTTTTGATTGCTGTGAATACAAGTTCAACCTCAGTCCATCCACTGCTGTGTAACTACTTACCATACCCAAAGTGTTCCGCACGTAACCTACGTGTGTTCATACATATTTTACTATGGCGACGCACCTTCGCCACACAATACCGATAAACAAATGTAGTAACCAGTAATAGCTCTCCACACCAGTCTGACATTAGTGCAAAACGCCACTATTCAAAAAAAGCAAATCAAGCTCAAATAGTCAACGTGAAAACGAAGCTGCGCAGCAAATTGAAACTTATAAAATATAAATAAATAAGTAGCTTTGAACGAGTGGCAGGCACCACATGAAACCGCATCAAAAACTAAAACTCTTCCGCGTCAATGTCAATCGACGTTCTTCTCACTTCCTCATCAGACATAGGCATACATAGGTGGGGTCGGTAAATCGATTCGAGACTGGACTTTGTGGTAAGTTTGTAGATGTTGAAAAGCTTGTTATGAACAAAAAAGCAACAAATGTGCGAACACCGCAACCAATTGGAATTGTATGCTGATATGTGTTCGAACTCGGCCGAGAAAAATGTTTTGTTGTTGAATAGCTTTAACACAAATTAACTAACACAGACACTGCAGCGACATACTAAGCGATTGCCCAATGCGCTGTTATTCGATTAACAAATATTTGATCGATGATTTAAAATATAAGATTTGAGTTCATTTGTCCGAAGTTCATTCTAAAGAATCGATTTTGGAGAAACAAGATGAAATTGATTATGAAAAATTTGTAGACATTTATTTTGCAAAAAAATGGGATTGAATAAAAATGCATTGTGTTTTCAGAAAACCACAAAGTTATAGATCTGTCCCCATGCTTTGCTGCATTAATTGTATCCTTCACCATAAAGTCCGTTGTTTACACTTCTAAGAAGTTTGCGGAGTATCGGTTCATATTTTCCTTAAGAGGAACAGATCTGAATGCAATCGGACCCTTACACATGCTGAGGATTGCCCATTAATATTTATTGGGTAGTTGAAAAGTCGCGTTTTATATACAGTACCAGACAGCCGTAATTCGTCTGTACACGGAAGCAAGACACGGTGCTCTCGAACGTTATTTTTGAGTGGTTGAAAGGCACTGATTTTATTGTAAAATATGCATCTCTAAGTACTACTTAAAATATTCTTGCTTATTCAAATCTCAAACACAAAATAATTATCAATAAACTATTTGTTCTAATAATAGGATTTAATCTGTGGATAATTTTCCCATCGTGTGCGTCAGTCTTATCAGCGTTGCATGTGGAATTTTCGACTCCTATCTTAAAACGCTCCAACGATCAAATCTTCTGTAATAAAAAATTCGGTTAAAATTTTTTTGAACATACTCACGACTGGCAAGAAGAGCTGTCAAATTAAATTTCTGTTCAAAGCAATTTGAACACGGGTGATAAGCGGGACTTGAAGAGAGTATAGGGAAAAATAACCGAGTGCCTATGATCCCAAGATCGACCAGGCTCCTTATTATACACTTACTAGGTTTTAGTGTCCATTATTGTTTCACGGCTTGAAGTCAGGGTACCGACTGTATTCGAACGGATCTTTGCCGAGTCTTTATCATGGTATGAGGCATGGTATGTCATGACTGACCTCAAACTCTACAAGAGCAGATTCAATTTTAAATTTATTCCCCAATGGCATCGATCGTTGCTAACGTACCACCGGACCTTCCTCCCTGTCACTCTCCACGACATCAATGCGAGCCAGGAGAGACAGACGGTTCTTTTTGATGGTCGACTTGAGTAAAACGGTTTCTTCGCCTCAGTCAGGAAGTATCCCGATCCATCTCAGAGAAAACTCACCCTTGACGGATGAGTAAGACGCTATGTACATTACTGTGAATTACACAGTGATGAGTCATCAAAGGTGATGAGAGAGAACGCAACCCCTGACGACCACTAAAGGTCCTAAAGAAATCCCTGCAAAAATATTTAACGGAAAGGTTTATTTCTTCAAATGATCAACGAACAGGACAGGGTCTCGAACACTGATAAAGAATTCTTTCTGATAAAGCGGAAGCTCAAATTTATTTCAAAGTTCTCTAGTATGCGAATATCTAATCTAAAGAATTCCGACGTCGCGTGTTACCCCTCTAACGGAGGAGAAGACAACCGCGAAAACGATCGCTTAAAAAGTTCTTGACACCATATTTTACTGCGAAAGATGTATAGGTATTGTCGATGTAACCTAGAAGGAGAGTTCATAGAAAGGTGGCCACGATGCAACCCCCTTCTGAGCAACAATACAAAAATCCAAATCCGCCTGTTGTTATGTTGTCAAAACCTGTGCCAAGTGGCGAACACGAAAAAGGAAGTGTTCGCGATAGCTTCATCGACTTCTACGGCAGCTCCAATTCTAGGAACCATACCACTAACACAACCAGTGGCTGTTAAGAGGATGAGGTCCTCGAATGAGCAGAAACACGCTGAAAGAGAGTCGGCTACGTCGATGGAGGCTTCTGCCAATAATGGTAAGGGAGTTGCGAAAGTAAAAACCCGCCGCCTCGAAGCAGTAATCCCAGATTCCGATACCTGTTGGAAATAATTGATAGAATTGACCACAATGCGTGTATCAGTGAATGAAGGACTTCTTCCTGAACGACGAAGTTTATCGACGGAACCTTCGGTTTAGCCAGGCCACATTTTACAAGGATCAAACTCATTACCAGTAAAACTAAGAAATTCTCGGACTTCCTTTGAAAAGTAATAAGCTGGCTGCCGTCGTGGTTCACCATATACCTGGGATTCAGAGGACGGTATTCAATCAAGTATTCGTTCAGCACTGCGCCAACTGCATTAGTATGAATGCTCTTCAGACCTGCTCAGTAGGCAACTTGATTTAGAAGTTCCCTTTTATAACGTTGGATCTCTCTATACATCATGCAGACTCTTCCTGACACACTGGTATGGGGAGTCTTATCCACCATATGCAACGAAAGCATGAGGGTGCCTCCTCATGACCCATTGGTGTCATGAGGAGCCACCCTGCTGCAGTTCTCATTACGGCGTTCTGACAGATCCGAATACTTCTCCATTGCGTAATACTAGTATTCGCAGATCACACTGTTAACGCATAGCTAGAAACTGACCGTTCTATAGTTTTGTAGGAGTTCAACAAGGTCGGTGCTGACGGCAATCGACTTGAGGACCTTCTTCATACTTTTCAAGTGTACATTCAATGGCATTCCCATCTTCGCAGTCCATGTGGTGAACAAGATTTCGTGGCAGATATTATCATATTCTTCTCGTGGAAGAAGGTTATTAACTCGACGAGATAGTGGTTCAACCACACACATATGTCCTCAACTATTGGACCCTATGCCATGATCGTAAAATCATCTGCATACGTAACGTTCTCCATTCGGTGTGGAGGGCGTGGAATACCGAAATGGTAGGGGTTAAACTGTTCCGGAGATATCTCTCCACCCTGCGGAACTCCTTGATTCACATAACGGGGTTTGGACTTCTTATTCCGGAACTCCACGTACGATTGGCGTCCAAACATATAGTTAATCATCGAACGTTTTAAACTTGATTTCCATTTTACTTTGTTACTTCTCGTTTCTTGTTAAAAAGTAACTATCGATTTATCTAACCTATTTCACATCATTATATTAAAAAGATCAAAGGGTCGACCCATGATGTATTTCACATCAAGTCGACATCAATGCATTTTCTGCAACTATTTATTATGCATTTTGACAGGATTTCAAATCAAATTTTAATTCACTTCAATCAACAACGAAACATTGTTGCATTCCCAGATCCCTGATTAGTGTTTTTTGGGCTCCTTGTGCGGCAACACCCTATTTAAAATCCAAATAAAAAAAATTGACTTTCCATATCCGCTGTTAGTTTGTGCAACACAACACAACACATTTTTGTCACACCATGTTACGTTCAATGGCTTGGAATGATCTGAGGGCTCATGTTACGAAACCGAATGGCCGGAATGTTGTTGAAAAATGCTGCCACAAAAGAAAACAACAACTGTCAGTCAACCAAAGTCAACGTCAACAACGTTGATAGGCAATGAATGGTGTTGATTGTGGTCGGCTCACTTTTACATCGTTGATGCAAAAGGGGAGCGGCAGGCAAGGTGTTGCTTGATTTTAGTGATTAGAAATACATACGTACGTACATACGTACAGTAATTGTTGGATATTTTAAACAGTATTTATTGCTGATTTGACTAAATAATGATGGGGCATCACAACCATTAACTCGGAATTAAAAATGTGTCTTAAATTAATTTGGAAACCATTTTTGAAGTTATACAGGGAGATTTTCTACTGCATGAGAATACAAAATATAAAACAAGTAAAAACGTTGTTAAGTTCGGCCCGGCCGAATATTTTATACCCTCCAACATGAGGATGCCAATAAAAATACAGTCAACGCCCGTTATAACGAATGAAATCAATATTTATAATAAACGGAAATCAATATTTATATTTTTGGTAGTGAGATTTGACATTGTGAAACCAAATTCTATTGAAAAACAAGTCCAAAATTCTCAAAACACCGCATTGGGTTAATATTAATAATTTTTACAGCCAATTTAATTGGAAAACGGGGCTACCCTTAAAGGTCAAAGGTCAATATAATTATTTTTAATACGAAAATGTTCTATACATTATGAACCCCAAATACAAATTTACAGCCATGTTGGTTGGAAAACCTGACCAAAATACCAAATATTGGGGGGGCTTTAGTGGCTACCCTGAAACTTGAGAAGCTGTACCAATACATATTGATAATTTTTAGTAGGAAGATTTACTATAATACCACGTCCCAAAATAACAAATTAGAACCAATTAGGTAGAAACACGTGCTCAAAGCCACCAAAATACCGAATATTGGAGCGTACCGTAATATGGGGGCTACCCCGAAACATAGGCCAATATTGATAATTTCTCGTAGGCAGATGTGATTGCAGAATTGAAGCCCAAATACCAATTTGCAGCTGATTCTTTTTAAATCTTTCAAAATACCGAAAAATCGGGGTTACTGTTATTTTGGGTTACCCTAAATTCTGGACCAATGGCATTCATATTCTAAAGGAATATTTGGACCCAATGAGAACCTAAGGTGGAAAATTACAGCCAATTCGATTGAATATTTAAGGGGTTTCGTTATATAGGGGCTATAACAAAACGCAGATCAATATACCCCATTTGCAATACTAAACCAGTAAGGAAAATAGTAAAGCCGGACGGGGCCGACTATATGATACCCTTCACCACTATGGGTATATAAAACAGGACTATTAACATGAAATTGGATGAAATAAAATATGTGATATTTATCTAACTTGAATCGACTTCAAACAAATATCAATAGGTCATCCGTTGGGCTATGTCTGTACTTCTACAAAAAGCAACTACGTAATTATATGTTCAATTTTGTACGTTGTGCAAAATATGATGTCAATCTGGCTTACATGAGGAGTTTGATGTCCAATTTACTTAAAATCGGGCGAAAATATATATAGAAGTTATATCCGAATATGAACCGATTTCAACGGAACTTGTCACAGGTTAGGTTATACTAATTTCAGTACGTTTTGTTCCAACCATATATTGGATCCTTGGTGCGTCAATTACTTGAAATCAATCTATAATATAAGGGAGTTATATCTAAATCTCAACCGATTTTCACGAAACTTGGCACACATCAGTCTGCACTAAACTCAGTACGCTATCGCCAAACATCGAGCAAATCGAAGGATATATACAGACTTTGGTACACCATCTTGACCGATTATAACGAAACTTGGCAGACATCATTGTAGGCTCAATTCAGTACGTAAATTTCGTGCAAATCAAAAGATATATGTGGACCATTTACATTAAATCGGACGAAAATATATATGGGAGCTATATCTAAATCAGGACCGATTTTCACGACACATGACAAATATCACTCTGACAAACATCACTCGCTCAATTCAGTACGTTATGCCAAATTTCGTGCAAATCGAAAGATAAATAGGAACTTTGGTGCACCATTTACATGAAATCGGACGAAACTATATATGGGAGCTGTCTAAATCAGGACCGATTTTCACGACACATGACAAATATCACTCTGACAAACATCACTCGCTCAATTCAGTACGTTATGCCAAATTTCGTGCAAATCGAAAGATAAATAGGAACATTGGTGCACCATTTACATGAAATCGGACGAAACTATATATGGGAGCTATATCTAAATCTGGACCGATTTTCTCTAAACTTGGCAGAAGTCACTTTAGGCTCAATTCAGTACGTTGTGCCAAATTTGGTGCAAATCGAAAGATATATAGGAACTTTGGTGCTCCATTTACATGAAATCGGACGAAAGTATATATGGGAGCTATATCTAAATCTGGACCGATTTTCACGAAACTTGGCTGACATCATTCTAGGCTTAATTTAGTACATTGTACCAAATTTCGTGCAAATCGACAGATATATAGTGTCTTTAGAGCACAATTTACCTTAAATCGGACGAAAATATATATGGGAGCTATATCTAAATGTGAACCGATTTTTTCCCAATTTCAATAGGGTTCGTCCTTGGGCCAAAAGAATGAGCTGTGCCAAATTTCATCCAATTCGAATAATAAATGCGAACTGTACTTTGTTTACAATTTAACATGGACAGATGGACGAACGGACAGACGGACATACGTTAATCGACTTAGAAAGTGATTCTATGCATATTCTCAAAAGGAACCATGGGTCTATCTCGATTCCTTTTGCCAGTTACACACATATGCACAAAGACATAACACCCTGTACCACAGTGTGGTGAAGGGTATAAAAATCCTATTAGTAATAGTAATGCAGGTGCAAAATTTCAGTGCTTTATATCAAATATTACAATCTCGATCGTGATTTAAACAGATAAATCCACAAGCATAAATCGACACAGAATTTTATTCTGATCAAGAATATATGCTTTATGGGGTCTCCAGTGAATACTTCGAGGTGATGCAAACGGAATGACAAATTTAATACACATTCCACCTTATGGTAGAGGGTATAAAATCGAAAATCACCATTTTGTGTAAACAGTCCAAATGCCTTCGTATTCGAATTGTGCCCTCAATAAAAAACCAACTTTTTAAATCAATAACCCTGGTAAATTTGTGTCTATCTAAAAATGGAATTATCATTCATGATTAAATGATAATTACCCTTTGGTAAATACGCATTTGTGGGTATTTATTAGGGAATTTACTATATTGAATCGGTAATACAATATCTTAAACCCTATTTCCGGGTTCCTGTTATCAAATCGATTTAGAATGGATAGCTTTACGATACTTTAAAGCGTGAGTAAATACTTGGATAAATAACCGAGTATTTACTCAAAAATTGGGTATAAACTCATTAACTGGCATAGGTGGCCAAAATTTGGCTCATTTGATACATTATGTTAAAGACATGAAACTTTGCATATAAGCATTTTAAGACTTAAAGAAGGAAAACATAAATTCGACGGCGGGCATTCTTGCCGATCACTGGAACATCCGAACGACTGCATATCTGACCCTGGTATGAATAAGGATTATAGACTTCGCTCGAAAATTAGCAAAAAGGTGTCTAGGAAAATTTTTGGCCATAAACTATAGTTGCAAAATTCCATAAAAATTGGATAACAGATGCGACCACAATGACTATGAGAATGATGATAAATATAAACAAACCCTAGTTAGTTTTGTATATATCCTTTTCTGTACAACACACAAATGCACAAAGACCACATACCCCGAAGGATAGAAACTAGATCTCTCATTGTACTATATGATCTAAATGATTGTTCTCTAAATCGATATCGGTACTCGCTATATTAAATCAACGAGTAATTTAGTTGGTGACATTTTAGAAACATTTCACTGTAACACCGCTCCAACGAGTGAGTGCATTTCATTTTCGTTTTGTTGCCATTTCTGAGCTTTCCGTTTGTTGCTGCTGCTACGATAACTGATGTCGTCGACGTTGTTGTTGCTGCTGTTGTCATTTTACGTACAAACATACATTGTTGCCCATAGAAATACTTAAATTTCCAATCCTACCACACAGCCAAACAACAAACCACTCACTAGGTTCATGGATCTGCTGTTTTTGCTGTTGTTGTTGTTGATTTTATTTTTCATACGTTACTGCTCCACCGATGTGTCAATAATGGTGGGAGACGC